AGGTTTGGTAGCAAATTTTGACGTTTGTCAATTCTGACGGTCATGTCAGTGAATGTATTCGCGTTGTCTTGAAAAACATACCCAAAAACTAACGGTCGTAGATAAAGTATAGTATGTAACATGTTTGGTAAACTTGTTTATTAATAAATTCAAGACTCAAATGTAGTGTTGGGGCTGATCAGTTGACCACTTCTTAACTGATTAGTCAAAAAATGTTTTAAATAACATCTTGCAATTTTAGAGTGTTATCTATCATTGTTTAATAATATTATATTTAATAACGTTATTATGCCTTTGTGATATCCAATTTACCTATTCAAGGAATATCCGAATACGATGCTTAGCGTTTCGGGAAAAATCCAAAAAGTTCCAATGAAAACTGGCGTCCTTAAATTGCCCATCTTTTCAGCTCATCGCCTACATTAATCAAGGAAACCACTTAACATTTAACAATCTTCAAATTCAGCTCCCTTTATTTCTTAACTAGTGATTACTATTAATATGTACACTTCTCTTAAGTATATGAATATAGTCTAGCACTTAATAAGTGGTCATGACTTAAATATGATTATATCTTATGTTTAGACGGTGAGATAAAGAAAATTATGAGACGGAATGGAAGAGAGTAACAAATCACAAAGAAAGCGTGAAATGACTGCAAAAATACTTATATTTTTATCTTTATTACCGGAGATATTAATCAGATTCCATCACTTCAAGGATATAGATTTGAAAATATTAACAAACGTAGTTGCATGAAAGAGACCCAACCATTGGTAGAATAGAGGCAATAGTATATTGACCAGTCAATTGACCGAATTTTTTTTACAAAATACCATGAACTTCCTTGCACATAATAACTAATAAAACATAATAATGATGGATAACACTCTACAATTGGAAGATGTTATTTAAAACATATTTTGACTAGTCCCTTAAGAATTTACCGGTGCCGTTATTTCACGTATATATTTCGTTGATATTTGGTATATATAATTGTCTCTATTTACCCTTTGGTTGTGAGACGTTATAGTTTATTAAGCCGCTCACTTGGCATAATTTGTTCTCTCTTATGTAGTTTTTGAGAGATTGTAAATTTCTAACCAACAAGTAAGTTTCTCAAATTGGTATATTGCCCTTTGGAGAGAGATTATTTTTGCATTAGGTTTTCAAACCAAAAAAAATGAAAAATCGTTCGTATTACCGATTTTAACGTGAGTTTAAATGAATTTTTGTGGATATAAAATTGTTGGTGTTGTTTATTCTCGCCGCGCATTTGAAGCCTTTACTGAGATATCACCCCGTACAATTCGACACGTTGCCGTAGGTTTTTACAAAAAAAAAGGGGGACTGTCGGGTGCGCCGGGGTCATAAAACGCAGATCAAGCACTACAAAATCGCTGCACATTGCAGAAACGCCCGTAAATCAAACTCGATGACAACGTCGCCCCGCCTTTACCTCATCCTCATTTTTGAGTGGACTCGCATTATTAATCGTCTCACAGGGCGGGAGGGTGGCGTCCTCAAGAGGCTCGGGTGCGGTCTGAAGAGGGATGTTGGCGGCTTTCACTTTACAAGAAACGCAGACCTCGCTGTGGCCCTTTGTTCTGTAACGTGCTTATACAGGGCGCTCCTACGCAATTTTAAATAAGGTGCTCGGTAATATCTTTCCCTCAATAGATAGATGATTTATTCAGAAAGCCCATTACAATGGATGTTTCGTCGCAAAAATAACATTAAAATGTATTAAAATAGATAAAATGGAAAATGTGTATGTCTTACAATAAACATATATACGTATATAACACACAAAACGAATATATCAATATAACATTACAAATATTTATTTAGAATATGCGTTTCGAGTTCACTTAGGCTACAAAAAGAATTGCATGTTAACATGTTTCTTAAATTACTTAGTAGAATGGTTCTTTAAGCTGGACGGGAGCATATTATAATATTTTGCCCCTGCACAGCCTAAAGATCTTCTGAGAAAAATATCTCATGCAATTTAGGCTTTAAGAGATTTTCTCTGTAGTAACAATGGTTATCAATGGGTTTCTTATGTAAATGTTTATTTTTGTGTGTAATATGTATATACAAGGAACCGTCATTATTTTGTGTTGTTGAAATATTCCTTTAAAAGACTGTCTCGGAGAAAGTTTAAAAATTAGCCTAAGTATTCTTTTCTGCTGTACAAACAACCTTTCAACATCACTAGCTTGCCCCCAGTTCACGATGTTGTAAGAAATTGAGGAGTATGATGGAATATGATGGAAACAACGTTAATGCTAATAATGTTAACAATGATGCTGAGTCCAATAATTGTAACGATAATATTATTGGTATTAATATGCAATCCAGCGATAATTCAGACGATTCTCCACGTAGTATGTTAAAAAATAAGATAAGACACAGACACAAGAAGAAAGTGAAGATCTTAATAAGTCTTTTAAGGAACTTCTTCCTACATCGGAACTGTACAAATTGAAAGAAAATAAGAGTTTAAGGAGAAAACACCTAAATTACAAAGCATAGTTGGTAACCAAAGGCCTGTTTTTTTCAGGTTCTAAATCCAAAAAAAAAAAAGGAAAACAATTCATAGCGTCATCATCATCGACAGTATCCGCGCACGGAGAATGATTTCCAAGAAAACGAGTCTTGGTATTGCTTTGTGTGTAACAAATGAGAACAATTTGATACGCGAAACTTGTCTCGTGGCACTTAGCGCCACGAAGTATATTGGCTTTACAAAAGACGACTAGATCTGCGTACGTTGTGATCAGATTGAGCTTTTTTTTCTTTCAAAAAGTTTAATTTGCGTCATTGTTATAAAAATATTTTTATTTTGTTCGAAAAAATATGTTTTATGCAAACTTGGCATTTTAGGATTTCTAACTGTTTATATAAAAATAACTAAATGTACATCACCTATTTTAGTCTTGTTTAAGGTGGTCCTTTATAACCGACCCCATTTTTTTTCTGGGCTTTATTAACCGAATGTTCGGATAAGAAAGCCCAATGTTTTAAGACTGAACGTGCACCTGTGGTTTCATTTATGAGAGTCTGAATGAAGATAATATTAGTATTTCGTTATTTGTTTTTGTCTGTGTTTGCCAAATAAAGCAATTTCTTATTAACTTGGCCTTATTTGCCGCAGGTACCTTATCTTGTATTGCTCCCTGTAAAGACGAATTTCTGTTTTTTTTAAGCATTACGAATAAAAAAGAAAAAATTATTTTCCGGATCTGAAAATATGTATTTTTTCATTTGTTTGTTTCCAATGGACGGTAAGCCAAGTGAGTTTTAAATTGTTCTAATTCTAATAAATTAAATGTAGTACGATAAAGCTACTAACCTCTACAATAAACAACCGTTCACAGAAAAACACAGTAAATCAAAGCAAGATTGCATAGTACTAAAGTGCCTATTCCTGAAACGGTCCACATTATATCATATACATCAGAGGATCTGGAATCACACCGTCCCATATTAATGTTTATCCCGAACCAATTTTTCTTGTATTTATAAATATATTTTAGGAACAGCTTTGGGTTCTCCCTTATCACCAATTCTGGTAAATATATTTATGAAAGGAAAGTTATGAACACCTTCCAACGAAAACCATAGTTAGGTTATGTTAGTTTTGTGATTTGACCTCACGGTCAAGAATCCCTCTGAGACTTTTTTAGCCATTTAAAGTATTTACATCTCGATGGAAGAATTTATGTGGGGGCCTGAGGCTAATACACAATAACACACTTCTATATGGTTCTATGCGGTTGTTTATTTAGACTTGGAACTTATGACGAAACATAATTGTGTTATAAAATAGTTAAATTGTGGAATCCAGATGATGTGTAAATAGTTACATGTATCCCAGCAGGCAAGCAAGTTCTGACAAGAGCAGCTTGAGTGCAGAATGTTATGGAACACCTGTAGGGTTTCTAGAATCATCATATTTAAGGTAGCTTACAGTTCCAAATAAGTATAATCCTGGCCATTCAATTTATATGCGCGTTACCTCAAGAACTTATGTTGAATTCTGTCAATATTCTAAATATGTACATGTATGTAATATTATGAAATTGTCCAGTGCAAGATTGTTGGAAGAGTATTATTCACATTAATTTTCAGCCCTTTACTATTGGACCAAAGAACAATATTATCTAAATGCCCTCAGCAATGGACAAGAAAGTTACTTTTTTATTGCAATTTTATTTTTATTTATTTTATTACCAGCTGGTTTTTCGTGAAGCAAGTATCACTAGAATTTAAATTAGTGAAAAATAAGTGGCCATTGATTCTCTAAGTGCGAGTCGCTTCCACGCAGATTTTGTTACCGTCAGCTTAAAGGTGGTTGTTTTCTTCGCACTTCACGAACTTAATTATTATTCCGGGAACCGGAATATAATATTGACAGGGTGTTATGAATGCCCGGGCGGGCAGGTGTTGCCCCGGAACGGTGCGAGGGTGACTTTGCAATTAAAATTTCCGATTACGCGATATTTCAAACGTAAATTTACCGGGTCGGACTTTTACTGCCGTTTGCCGAACGTTTAATGTTGACAAAATAAGAACGCGATACCAGAAAGGAAAGTTTTCGGCAAGTCGGCAACTTTTGCTTAAAACATTTCCCGCTTATTTGTACTTGAAATATAGGTTATTGATGATCGGTGGTATTAATTCTTGTTTGATTAGCGGTTGTAGTGTATTCCATGAATTTCTCATTATTTTGGACCAAGGTAGTTCTGTCTTGTATTGTAATAATAAATATGTAAAAGAAAACTGACGATTACCGTACGATACGTCCAACTTCACGCTATCGCGCCTGGGGAATCCGGTGACGTCATCGCAAAGTCGATTGACAACAGATTTTGCCAGGTAACCACCACAGTATAAACACTCTGTTGTCTGTGATCATATTGATTTTTTTAAAGCGTCCAGTGTTTTGATAATTTAGCCATTTATTTTGAAAAAAAAAGTGTAGAATGTATTTACTAATATCGTTTATTTAGAAATTGTAATTACCAGACACAGGAAATAATTATTAAAAAAAAACGAATTGATGACATATGTTTAGGGGATATTGGCTAAGTAATCTTTGATATGGGAAGGTTCCAGCCTTCGAAAGCCGGAGGCGTCGCAAATGCCTACTTCTATATTGTCTGCTGTCATCTGACCCTCGAAACTTTCCTTCAGCGTCAAAATTGCGGTATGCACCGCGTCATCCAACTCCAAATCTTCACTAAATCTAAAACGATATAAAACAAACAAAAGTAGTACTGTAAATCCTGCTTGAGTCGCTGCGGCTCACCGTTTCTCCAGGAAAGTTTTTCCGTTGATGTAATTTTTGCCCATAGCAGTTGCCTTCCACGCGAAATAAGCACCCGATGGGTCGCACTGGAACAGATATGGTCTGTCGTTGTCCCATCCACAGATCAAAAGGGAGACGCCAAACGGTCGTACGCCACCCGATTGGGTGTATTCTTGCATAACGGCAGCTACTCTCTGAACTAACTGAACCGTTGGAATCGGTTCACGATAAACGAGATAATACTGCTGTGCCATTTTGCGCGCTTGCTTCACTAACAGACGATAATCGGGGCCCATGCCAGAGTACACCATGCCTATATGATTCGTTATCATTTCCACTTTATGAACACTGTGTTCATCATAAAGTATTGACTTGTGCTTGTTCTCGGTAGCAATAACGACGCCGTTTGAAGCTGCAAAATATGCTAATAATGCTAATGACTCGTATTTATTGGGGATATTATTAACCTTTAATTCCCACAGAAGGGGCTCCCGCAGCCACAGCAGCCAAGGCGTATTCAATTTGGACCAGTTTTCCTGATGGACTGAAAAGGTAACGGTAAATATTGCAGTCGTTGTTAAATACAGAAATATTACCTAAAAGTTGTCAAAGAGAAACTATATCTTTCTGTTGCCATGATTGTACCTCTTGGATTACTTGCAACAAAACAGAGCAAAACCAATATAGGTTAGTTACGGTTTCATCTTCAAACATTAGAACGGGCTAATTGTCCAGATCGTTTGCCGAAATTAAGTTTGGTTTAGAGTGTCTACGAAGATGCATCTTTGGCTCTTATTAGCAACTGCCAGGCGATTAATCCACTATCATTTTATTCAATTGTGTTTTAACTCGTAGAATTTTAATTCCCTCATTATAGGTTGGGGTAACACATTTTTTTTTCTTTTTCTATTGATATTGCTTTTAACTTTGTCGGCTTATTTACGTGTTTTTGCATTCATAATAATATGAACATTTGGAAACAATTTTAAATAAATGCGGATTTTGACCTCAGTGAATTTGCCCAATTGAAAAATAACTCAATAGTTACTAACTAGAATCGTTCAACGGTAAAATTGGCCGAATGATCCTGACAAACTTGGCCAAAAGCAGCAAAAAACTAGAATCTTGCTTTGGCATATGAAAGGTAAATAAATGAATTAGATAATTTCAGAAATCGAAAATTAGGTCAATAAAACCAGTTTACGTGTCACAGTAACAGATTGCAGACCACAGGTGGAATGAGAGTACAGTGTTATAGGCGAACAGCTTTGGATTTGGTAAAATAAAAGGTGTAGACTTTATTATACATATTTATTTCCCATCTTTTGGACCCTATACAATTTTATAGCTAAGTACATTGTCAGGTAATATAAACTTTGTTTGGAATGCTTATTTCAGAGAATCTGAGGGCAAGATGGTGGGGTGGGTAAAGTTATACATATTCTGACTAGTATCAACAGTTATTTATTTGGGGCGATCTGATTATAACGAAACGAAACACCGCGCCCAAAAGCGCGCGCCGCTCTCTGATGTACTTATTTATTATTATTATTATTCTAGCCGATAAATTTATTATTCCAACACATTTTACAATATTAAAACTAATGTTACAACGCCTACGTACTTGTTTCAATTATTACAGTAGAGATATGGATTCCCTGGTCGATTAAACAGGTCTACTAAGGCTAGGTTTGGAGCACGAATGCCGAAAACAAAGCGAAACATTCCCCGATTTCTATTGGGTACGGTGCAAGTTTGTTTTCGTACCAGGCTCCGTTACCATTAAGGGCTTAGCTGGGTACAAATACATTTGCTACATAGCGGCTTATAAATGTCACACTACATCGGCTAACGTCGCCCTCTATCGTCGCGTTCGCGAACGATATCGAGCCGATAACAAGCCTTGTAAATATACTCAGCATCAGCAGCAGTTTAGAAAGATCATTTTTTCGCTTAGAAATACGTGATTTTTGTTGTTGTTGTTTGTAAATCAATTGTCGATAATATACTAAATATCAAATCTTTTATTATATTATTAAACGCTAAAAATTTAAGATGTCACTTGACAAGGGGCACAGATCATGATATGTTTAGAAAGTGTTGTTTATATTCATTTTTGTTTACTAAATATAAACCTATCATCTAAAGCAGAGAAGGCGATTGTGGCTAGTTCATAATAACGTTGATAAATTTATCACATATTTTGTCGCTTTTGAAATGAAAAAACAAAATCGAGAAGATGTCGGAGACAGGCTCGATCGCGCCCATAAAGATATTTTTCTGCGTTAATATTTGAAACCGCGTTCTCACAACCATATTGTCTCGTCACTTTGTATCGTCTCCATTAAAACTGGCGCCACTGTTCGACAGTTGAAATGATTGAAGTCCATGTGCAGGAAGTTTTTGCATAATTAATTATAATCTCAATTTCTGTTGTTTTGCCAGTTATTCAATAGAGCGTCTGAAATTCGCTGGTTTAGGATATTTCAAAAACTATATATTCGAATGTACAGCGATATATGGGGTTTGTTTTTGAATTAATGTATGGGTCGATCAGTACTTAATGTTATCTGTGAAATAGCAATCTAAATAGCACAACAAAATCCCCCGTATCTGTATGGTTGTGAGAACTAGGTTTAAGGTGGTAAACGTGGACGTTATCGGTTAAAGACCGGGTGCTCCGACTTAAGCGACAACCGGAACCACAGAACGACGACGCGTTGTCCGATAAAACGACCACAGCGCCGCTATAAATACATCAAACACAATTACTAAGTAGTACGCACGTCCCAATATCGATAATACATAATAAAAGATCGGATTGCGTAAATATATAACACTATTTTAACTGTTTTACGTTTCATTTTTTTTTATTAATTAATTAAGCTGATATGTTTCATGTAGTCCCCGAAAAAATGTGTTTGGATCCACTGCGACCCGCACCCACCCTACCTCGACCCGCGACGTCGGTCGCGAGCTGCGCACGCGCGTCGCCATAAACACGACGCGCATTGGACGGAAATAACACGCAGAACGGTCGGGCCGTGCCTCGTCGGAATTCGGGCGTTTTCGTTGACCAATTTCTTTAACCGCGATAAATCATTTTTAAACCCCCACGAAAATGTTTGCGAGTGTCTGAAATCGCCGCTAGGATACGGGACGGTGTCCGATTTTCAATTGGTAGGTCGATAAAATGCCGCCCTGTTTTGTGTCACGTATCACAGATAGCGTTTCCGGCGTTAGAAGACGCGGAACCCACATCGATCGTTCGTTAACACACGATTTATATATATTGCGCATTTGACGGGTCAGACGACCTCCATGGTCTTGATTATTGACTATCACAACGTTTCAACCGGTCGTCTTCCGATCAATCATAATCACCATAAGAGAAAGAGAGCAAAAAAGCGCTCATCAATGTCTTTGACCTTCAAACAAACCGAACTTCGTTCGTAAAATGAAAAGTGTGAATGCGTTTTTTTATTTTTTCATATATTTAGTTGTGGTTCGAAAATCTTTATAATCAATCTATTATGCGTTTAAATAAGTAATAGTGCGTTGTTTTCCTTTTTTTTTGCAAGTGCAAATAAACATATTATTATTATTATTACTTTTAAAATTGTTATTTTTTGTCAAGACAAAGAAGCATAATTCAATTCAGCATTCAGCATTTTTAAAATCAAGTGCATTCGTTAAGAGACATTCGAGACGCTACTGGAATTGATAACTTGATAACTAACTAACTAACTTTCATTTTGCGAATTATAACTGATAATACGTGAAAAATGTTAATTTCGCCGTAATTCTTCTTTTGTAGCGTATATGTAAAAAACACCAACTGATTGGTAAACATGTGAAATTGGTCAACCTAACCTAAAAAACGGGATCAATAACGCGCCCCTCTTCGAAAAGGAACGATCCCGACCGTTTTTGTATCTGCATTTTTCTTTAAGTCTTCCAAGGTATAAATTCACTAAGGTTTCAATCACGAATTGACTTTGTCTACGAGAGAGAGAGAGAAATAGATAAAGGGAGACGGAGGGAAAACAACAACGATCCTGCAAAATGAGAGATTTTCTACCTTGGAAAAGCTCATAAATCTATATATATATACATCTACGATTGATAATATAGATATATCACATAAAATTCACACGAAAAGCACTACGACACTACAGAATTAAACTACTTATGATGATAAGAGAGAATAAACAACGTTTGCGGGCCTAACAGATGGACGTCGGCCGCATTTTTCAAAAGACAGTTTGTAAAAAATTACAAAATCATACAAAAATAACTTGTTAGGTCTATTCCAAAAAATCAACCCCCCTTAAAAACAATAATTTCTCTTAAATAAATAGATATATGTATATATATTAAGGTTTCTTTGTCTAAAATTAAACTTTGGTTAACCGATAATCGCGTACCCATGTATTATCCGCGGCCCCCCACTACTCCTATTTTGTATATTAATTGACGATTCTGTATCGAATTGATTGTGCTGCTCCATCACGACTGTTGTATCTTTTCCGTCTCGCAGTTTTTGCAACGGGGGCGTTTTTTTTTTCTTTTTCTTGTGCTCGCGTTATTCTATGGGTACGTCGCGCGTTTAAGGTACAGAAAACTTCCTAAGACCTACGTAAATATTGTTATATCCTAATTAAAAAGGTAAAATATTTCTAATTCATATTATAACTTCATGCGTCGTTAGAATTGCAAGATAACAAATGCTGATTTTTTTTTTAATAATTATAGTTTAAACTATCAACTACGCAAAAGCTCTATATATATATATATATATTGGATCCGCGTTAAAATTTATCCTCTTTTTGAAAATAAAGCATTTTTCTGCGTTTTTATTACAAGAGAGAGGCTCGGGGCTACTTTTTTCGCCGCCATTTGACGTATGTATATAGGTATATATATTTTTTTAAATTACTTTAGTGATATGTTTGTCAAGTTTCGCTTGTGATCGTGAGAGTGACGCGGAAAAAAAAAGTCACAAGCACTTCTCGGAACCCGTAAGAGATGCTGAAGGTCAATTAGCCAACGGTATTTGTTTTACAATTTTTTACTGTAATAAGGCATCTTCGTGAATCAGATAAACTTATTTTTGTTTCCGGGGGATCTCGCCCCCAAGGTTTTTGAGCAAAATTTCCGAAATTCGTAACGCGCGTCAAACCATAATTATTGGTTCACGTACGACAAAATGCAAAAAATATTTTTTTTCAAATTTCTTAAGTAGCGAGACTCGGGTGGTTCTGTGCCCTGTCGTGTCGCGGATTGCGTCACACGACGACGTCACACAATTGACGTACGTAATTTAGTAGAGCGTTATTTTTGCATTTCGCCGCGAAAGATCGGTAAGAAGACACTCGAGACGCTCTTGCTGCCACCAATTTTCGAAAAGATAAAAAACAAAACAGACTAATTTAATTGACCTGGATCTCTTACACGTTTAACAAAGCGACAGCGGTAAATAAAGTTACGCTTTTGGACGTTTCGAATAGTATTGACAACATTGAATATTACTAAGTCGGGTTGTATATTGCTAGTATTCGCCAGAAGTCTGCTGCTAAAGCCTACCCCTCGGGTCGTCACTAAATACGATATTGCTCCAAAGAAAAAAAGCTCGGACGAGAGCAAAGCAGAACGCAATTAAATCCGTGCAACCCCAAACAATTTTAATGTAATCTAAAACTTAACTTTTAGGGCACCTTTGGTTTAGTTTATTTAGTTAATATAATAAAAGTATATGGTAACGAGTTTGACCGTTCCACAGAATGTTGGATTCGCTACAGTATAATGAAGAACTGCGTCACGAAGAGAAAATAATAAAACAGTTTTGACTACAACAGGTAACAGACATAGGTTAAGATCTTTTTTGTTTTATGTGTTTTTTTTGTCGCCTACGTTACGTTAGTCGAATCTCCAGTCCACTGAATCACCTAAAAATGTCCAGCCTTTACCGTCGCTTTCTGTCAAGTGCTGAGCGGGACGAAAGCGTTTAGATTGTCAATTTTCTTCTCCTTTTGTTCCCTAGAAATTAAAAACGTGTTTTTCATAACCGTCCGCGCTCGTAGCGAGAGTTCATGCTTTCGATTTGAATTTCTGGTCAGTTTCTTCCTGCGCGCAGGAAAGAAAAATTGTGGTCACTTACTACGTTCGACGTGGGTGCAAACGCTACGGTGAAATATAAAAAAAGTAACAAACGCACGTACAACTACAACAACAACAAAGATGTGGTATAGTGGACCGACCTCTGCTGCCGCCATTTTGCTTTTGGCGTACTCGATTCGGATGGGCCCGCGGTCCGAGGACAGCAGAAAGGAGCCCTGCAACTGGGCCATGACCCGGGTGGCGCCACCTACGTCGCGGTACTCGACGAACGCGACAGGCGATGACCCTGTGCCATTGTTCCCTTGCTTGTTGTTGTGTACGCGCAGGCGGCAGAAGCCGGGGAAGCTGCGTGCAAGAAGAATACCGGTGTGCGGTCAGTGGTGTGGTGGTGGGGTGCCGCTTGGACGTGACAGGTCGGAAACTAGTCGGGTGTCGCATACGGAGCGCGTTTTAAAGTTTTTTACATGGTGATATGTCAACTGGGTCGTGGTTCAATGTTAAACTAGACGCCAATGGGTGCTGATGTTGGCATCGGCAATTGGCAGATGATTTTGAGGTTATTGAGCTGAAATTAGTACCCAATTGCAGATGCGGTCTTTGGTCTTGCCTGAAACTACGAAGATAAAGTGTTGCCACAGACCTGAGGGAGTTATTTTATGAACTTGTGAACTTCCTTTATGTTCAGCATCTGCCAGACTAAGGAATAGATAAGGATTGTTCGAAAATATGACTCCTACAAGTACCACAGGACACTGCAACCTCAAACACTGGATGCACGAAATGCGCTTTTCGAACAGGATGAGTGCACGATGTGCACGGAAGATGAGGAAAGGACAGAACTTATATATGTCTAGCGGTATGAAGGATTCGATACTCAAAACTATTGACTGACATCTTGGAATTTGAGAATCTGAAAGACTTCATTCGAGGACTGAACTTGATGGGAAAAAAAAAGTTGGAAGTGTGCCGCAATAGAGCGAATATCGGTCACGGACCTAAGAGTATAGAACCACGCAGAAATATATTTTATGCTAGTTGGTTGGATGATGTGTCTGATATTCATTTTGGGAGCGAGGTTGAAATATTACCATGTAAAAATTTGTTCCATCAGACCGATCGATTTCGGATCCATATTTAGAGAGAACGTTACCACCGATTTTTTACAGCGACTAATCGCTTTTCCTCTACTGGGGAGCATGTGCTAATTTCTGCATCCTTTATCTCAACGAGTGTTCGCAAAAAAATACATAAAACAATCTTCATGCCATCACTAAAATTTAGTGACGTGCGAGGTGGGCGGCGAATTACGACGTCGATTATACATCTACTAACATACTACGCTGGAATGTCGGTTGGTGTTAAGTGATCTAAGAATTACGTGACCATTGCATACACTCGATCTACGAAAATCTGTGGGTTTAAGGAATGCTGTCTATGGGGCGTTTCAGAGGTGAACAGGAAAACGTATACGAGTTTCCCGCGAGTAAAATATATACCGAGCAAAAAAAGTATCGCAATTTTCGAAGCAATTTCCATGTGTGAGCAACGTATAAACATCAAATGTTTTCTGCCAATTTAATAATTTTAATTAAATTTAATTTTAAAACAATAATATATATTAATCAAGATTATCCAATTCTTCAATTCCTTGGAGTAACATTTCGCATACTTATAGGTAGACAATTTTAAACTTTTAATCCAACCGCTTCAGATTTCGTATTCAGATACAATTCTTGTCGCGTGATTGATCAAGAAGGATACAACATTTGTTTCAAAAATGTCTATTATATACCTGTCAGCAGTCATCATTTCGCCATTGACTACAGCTAATTCTGTGCGGCTGTTTAATGGAATGTCTTCCATAATAGACCTACCACGAAAATGGGAGTTAAGTCCATGCTAAATATTGTTCCCCATCTCAACTGCAAACTAGTATATGCCGATCATAACCAACTGAACGAAGCTGTGATTAATATATGAACCAAGTTCATTTCCCATTGTATTCTTGTAAATGTAAATGTATCTAAATTTAACATGAGTTTCGCAAAACTGGGTTTAAATAATTTTGCTACTATTATTTTTAGTTGAGTTATGATGATGATGATTGAAGTGTGTTACCTTGTTTTGCTTGTAAACCAATTATTTCTTGCGAGATGTATGAACCTCCCCATGTGCAGTCGGTCAAAAAAGTCTCCGTACAAATAGTATTTTTTCAGTTTTCTTTTCGTTTCTTCTTGCACTTACATTTAATAACAAATATATTGCAACTAAATATCGGCAATTTCAGAGTAATAAAAATAAAATCTAAATAATTTGAAGCACTTTATTTAAAGGCAGTTATAGAAGCAAGAAAATATGTCAAATAAGTCTCCGTACACTATTATTTCTTATGATAAATCGAAAAGTTTCTTTAAGTATAGTAATAGTAATAGTATTAAATCTTTTTGGAAGACTTAAAACAAGCTTTTTTGTAACTTCTCGCGATATGTTTTCCCACTCTTCTCTTATCCTATTTTTGAGGTCTTCTTTACTCGTAACTTGATGTTTTTTCACTCGTCGCTTTAATTCTTGTCTCTCTATGGAGTTAACATCTTCAGATTGTGGTGGTGTATGAAGTTGCTGGCGGACATTATGAATCATATGTATGTTTAGGATCGTTATCCTGTTGGAATAAATAACGCCCCTCAAGGTTAAATTTTTCAGCACTTTGGTTTAAATTATTCTTTAGGATGTTCAAATAGCCATGTTGGTCCATAAAAGCTAATTGCCTGTCCCATTAGCTGACATGCATCCCTACAATAAAACATTACCTCAACCATCCTTCATCGTAGGACGGACATTTTCGATTTTCAGAGCTGTATTTTTTTCCTCCAAACTTTATCCCGACCATCTCACCCAAAAAGATTAATTTTTGTTTCGTCACTAAAGATGGCGTTTTCCCAAAACTCCCTGATTTTGTCAATGTATTCTCGGGCAAATTCCAAACATTTTTTCGATCTTTTTCCCGAAATTAATGGTTTAGTTCTGGATTTTTCCTCTCTCTACTACGATTTTTCGAAGCGCAATTGGAATTTCGCAATTTTTGGCGCTCTTTTTGCTTTTACCTCAAAACCACTGACTTAAAAGTGGCGTCAAAAATAAACAAGTATAATTCATTTGTTTAAACGAAATTTGATAGAAGCTGACTTGATAAAATATTGATAATTAACGGTTCTACCTGCAGTTCTGAATAGTGATTCATTAAAGTGTATGGAGACTTATTTGACGTAGTTTCTTGCTTCTAAAACTGCCTTATTTTTTATCGTTCAAATAGTTCAAGTGAGATTGCCAATATTTACTTGAAATTTATTTCTCATTAAATGTAAGTGAACCTAAAAGAAAAATGGAAAAATGCTATGTGTACGGAGACTTTTTTGATCGACTGTAGTTTATTTGTAGATTATTCCTTTGAACGTGAAATAGTTATATCATAATGGATTCTTGTAAAATAAGAACTGTTAATTTTAGTGCAAAAGAGTGTATGAATGAAGTTCGCACTGAAGTTAAAGTACACAAAGCTTGGGAGCTCTCACATTGGAATTCCTGAATATGTTGGCATAGCCCTATCCTGGCCATCGACTATGTCCCAAATTTTTTACCGATGGGCATCAATTACTTGGACATATACCGATTTCTGAATTTTTTCGGATTGCCGCGAAAACAGTTTCAATAATGTAACTATTCCCTAAGAGTTCATAACATTCTAAGGTTTGTTACCACATGTATAAGTTGCAAAAGATCTTCATCATTATATCTTCGTTAAATTCGTACATTTTTATAAATTTGAATGACTAAAGATATAATGATATCAAACAACAAATTGTGTGGTTAGAAAAGCATTTCTATCGACAGGTCAATAACCACAAACAGCTGAATTCCGAGATTATACCATAAATTTGTTATTTTGAACTGCAGTTTAACAATGCAACCGGCTCTTTATGTATGTATGATATTACCGATAATGCGATATTTTTTTTGCGGACCGAAGGGAAATGCCCAAAATGACCTAAATAACAGAGAATATCCTCTGTCCTACACTTTCGTCATCCACCTCTTTCGACTCTCAAACGCCCGATATAAGTTTACGTTAGCGTCGCGTGACTACGTTACGCTAACGTAATCTGTGGTAGTCGTTAAATGACCTCTACTGGTGCGCACACCCAAAAACTTAATCGCGCGTTACCGACCTGGCAAATATTTCCTTGAGTTCGTGCTCAGAGACGAACTGGCCCAAGTTGGCGACGAACAGGGTCGAACAGGGCGCGTTGTTCAGTCCGGGCTGCGACGACGACGAACCGACCGGCGACGCCAGGGTCGGACTCGGCAGGAAATGAGGCAGAGAAGGAGCCGCGTGCACCGAAGTCAACGCGGTCGGATGAGGCAAAGACATCGATGGCTGCAATCGAAACTTAACCGTTACAAATGTGTTGTGACTTTGCGAAGATTTTTAAGTAAATGCCAACGAAATTCTGAGTTTTGTGATGATGACCACTCAAATATTCCCTATACAACGCTTTGGTTTATGGTATATGGTACATGGTACATGTTATCGAGCACTTTGTAAGAGACGGTCAAATTTCAAAAATTGAACTGAGGTGGGTTTTACTTGATGCAAATAAATAAGAACTAAAAGTTTAGATTTTCACGAAATTATATATTATGACATGACAATTGTTTCGACAACACCGTGTCTTTATCAAATGTAATATTTACAAAAGACCTGCTACTATATATACCGAAAAATGACAATAAAACCTTAATTAAAGTTGTTGTGAGAATTTAAGTTTAATAATGGAGAGGCATTTAAATCTACTCGATCGTTAAGCAATACATTTGAATGTCTCATTTTGTTAATCTCCATGGTTTCCAATAAATTTAATTTTCTACTTTTTGTGGCTGTATGTAAAATATCAAAATTGTCGTCAAAAATGTGTTTTTCTGTGTTTAAGTGTGTAACATAATTAGAATCTGACCTATTGATTTTAAACGCTCTTTCATGTTCCTTAATGCGTTTCCTGAAGGATCTACCTGTTTGTCGAATATAAATTTTAGGACAAGATCCTCATTTCAACCTGATTTTTGAGATTTTGAACATTTCGTTAAATTGTTCTTTAAAAATTTTCCTATTGTGTTGAAAGTTGAAACCACATTTTGACAAATGTTTTGAAACTTTTTCACTGGGTTCTCCTATGTATGTAATTGTTTTAAATTGTTCGTTTTCTGTATTAGGTTTCGGATAAATAGAGTTTACTGTTGTCTGGATTTGTTTTTTATTTATAATTTTATCGATAATGGACGAATTGTAGCCGTGTTCAGTGCAATTTGTTTTTAATGATATTAAGTTATTTGTTGTAATTTTCTGTTGAGAGTGACGTATTAAGAAGTCTGTGTATAAAAGAGTGAAATACAGTCATTTTGTGTGTATAAGGGTGATTTGAGCTGTTATGTATTACTATGTCCGTGTGTGAAGGTTTATGGTAAATGGAAAAATCTAATTTGTTTTACGTTTTCGTAATAGTTAGGTCTAAAAAGTTAATAGAGTCATTCTGTTGAATCTCCATAGTGAATTTTATACGATTATGTAATGAGTTAATGTAATTTAAAAAAGAATTCAATCGTCTGTCAGTTCCAGCAAATCAAGCAAAAATCATGATCCACGTATCTATACCACCATAGAAAACTTTTCCTAAATTTTATATTGGACAAACAGGTAGATCCTTCAAGAAACGCAATAAAGAAAACAATAGTCTAGATTCTAATGCTACACACTTAAACACAGAAAAAGACATTTTTGACGACAATCTTGATATTTTACATACAGCCACAAAAAGTAGAAAACTAAATTTATTGAACTCCATGGAGATTAACCAAAATTACACATTCAAATGTATTGCTTAACGATCAATTAGATTTAAATGCCTCTCCATTATTAAACTGAAATTCTCACAACACCAATTAAGGTGTTATTGCCATTTTTCGGTATATATAGGAGCAGGTCATTTGTAAATATTACATTTGATAAAGACACGGTGACATGTGAATATATATAATTTAGTGAAAATCTGAACTTTTAGTTCTTATTTATTTTGTCAAATTTCAATTTAGCTCTTCAGATCGTAATAGGAAAATCAAGATGAACTGCTCCGCATTCTAAAACCAAGACTTTGTATTTTTCTTTTTTAATCCTTTCCATAAACAGGATGGAGTTATTTTTATTACGCATTCCCCTACCTAATCCGGAACGTATATCGTGTAAATCCGTCCGTATAAAATCGAAACATCGATCTTTCGTTCCGCCCCCCGCCTCCCTGTGCCGGCGTGACGGGCGTCCCTATAAATACTCAATCTTTTTAAAAAGGCCGTTGCCAGCGGCATTCGCCTCTCGGCTCTATTTAAATTTTCAAATAAGCCGTCAATCCGGCGCTCCATGAGCGTCAAACATCGAGAGAGATTCCACAAAACGTGAATGGGCTCAAACTAATTACATTTTACGATTACGTGAAGGCACGGTCTGACACGCGTACACAGAGCGGTGGGATGTTAAATTTGGGCTGTTGGGGGTTGGCTGGATATGTTGGGACGTGTTACCCGAACATATATTTAATAATTTGTCGGATGGGTAGATCTACAACACACTTCACTCTTGACACGATGACATGTTACACGGAAAAGCACGGACAATATATAATATCGTTTTATACAATGTATACAGGGTGTTATTGAAATGACATCATATAATTTAATGGTTGACCAAGAAATGGCTCCAAATATTTGTATATGTCAGCGGATCTTTCAAAGGAATGATAAGCCAAGCATTTAGGTGTTGCCGAATCGTACGCTTTTAATAAGTTCAAGTATAAAAATTGTTTCAGCAGATTTATGATTAATTTGCAACAAGAAACATTGGTAATCTCATAAATTCAAATTCAGTACCGGTGTTAACAAGATTTGGGCACTATTGGTTCAATACGTCGAAATACGAAAAAACAACTAAATAAACATTATTATTTTGTCTGCTTACACGACAATTAGTTGCTAATTAATTCTTGGTGCAAACCGATGTACAAACATTGCTAAGATCATAAATTTAAACAGTAAAAAAGCAACAAATTTATACACCATTAGATCGCCATTAAGTTAATCACCGGTGTAACTAATTTTTTCTTTCAGCACCGAAAGGGGTCCTTTAAAAAAGGTGTTTTAAAAAGGGAGCTACCCACTCGACAGTTAACTATTTTAAAAAAAGGATACACTAAAAAGTTATACACAAATTATTCAACAGTTTCAGAAATTAGTCGTTCCACAGTTATATTAAATAACATCTTCAGATTTCCCTAAATTTCTCTAACATTTTCTACGCCGCCTTTGTCATTTCCTAGAAAACCTTTTATAATATCAGTACAGGTAGAGACTAACGATGCCACATCATCAGAGTGCCTTGTTTCGTAGATCTTTCACATTCAACGTGTTCATAATTCTTTGTCACAGGAATTCAGTAACTTAAATTTATATTCATTTAAAAATAAGTACAAAGATCATTTGTTACAAATACAGTTTTCCCAATAATGTGTTACTAATTATGTTATTAGCAAGGGATTATATTGAGTTATCAAATTCTTTATCTTCAAATGCATTTTTTGTAGTATGTTATAGAGTTATGTTGTTCTTCCGATTTTGCAGGTATTTTTCATATTATATTTGTTGTTCATCCACTTTTTATTTCAATAAATAGTGCCCAATTTATTAATTATATAAATAGTTCTTTAGCGGTTGAGTAGAGTAGCTATTTAAAGCTAGACTGCGCCGCTTTTGAGCTATCTGTTTACTTTGTTTTGAAAAATATTAATATTGTATATTGTTTTTTTTTGTTATAATAAAGGCTATTTATTATTATTATTATTATTATTAAATAATCTTGTCAGATTCTTTCATTGTATTCACAAAGTCTTGATCTTCCATTAATCACTTTAATTAAGGTCAAAAATTCCTTTATTTAATTTTATTTATTTAAATTTTCCACATAGCTATTTAAAATATGCTCCATCCTTACTGTACTGCTTCGTCAGTCCTAATTTAATTTATAATGGTGGTAAGAGAATTTTTCGTGAATCAATCTTTAAGAATATTTTTTGATCCGGGAGTTAGATTTGGCCTGTTATTTTTCAACCAATGTTGCTGTCCGGTTTGTACTCTCCCACTCGCACAAAAAAACAATCAGCAGTCAGCATATACGAAGTATATGAGTTAGTAGAAGTGCCGCAATTTTTAAATCACTACAAATCGTCGAACTATAGTCCTTGTATTTAATTTTCTCAAGCGGTAGTTCCAGATTTTTGTTGCAAGCAACTGGTAGAGAAGCAAGAACATTTCTATTGTGCAAAAGAACAGCTTGAATGATGGATGAGTCTCCAGTCCCCAGACTTGTAGTCTGTACCAAATTTTTTATTAGATTAGAAATGTCGGAATACTCGAGTAGGAGGTCTTGCAAAACGAATTGCACTTGAAATCTGGCGAAGGCGCCGGAGTATTCCGCAACCGAATAACGATAGTGTAAACCGGCAGTGTTACTTACGTGAGGGTGAACCGGAGCTCCGGCTGCGTCCATCGGCGTTTTTTCTGAAGATAGTCAAAGGTAGGACCGCACCGGGACCTGCGGGTGCAATGCCGGATGCACGAGCGCCGCGTGTTGGAGCGTCGCTCCCGGCAGTTCGGCGGCGGCTGCGGCGGCCGCCGCCGAATAGGCCAGCGGGTGGTGCCATAGTTCGGGACCGCCGGGAAAGAAGGGCGTGCCCAAATCTGAAATGTAGACTTCGGATCAAAATTAAGCATCTGTGCAGTTACTACAACGGTTGGAGTTAAAACGTCACGAGGACGTATGTTAAGGGCGACGAACAGGAAAACAATTTTCCACCGGTATCTGCCCCCCCCCCCCCTTGCGTTAGATATTAAACCCCCGCCGTTTCGCCACCCAAGGAAGCCCGGATCCCGCGCGGTTACTTCGTTTAAATGCTGCGAGATTAAGTGCCGTGATTATATGTTTGCCCAATTTTACGCTTTCGTAATAACAAATTTAAATTGCGTATCGATCAGGAGCAAACCCTCCCCCACCACCCGAGGACCCCTTATCCGCGGGGACGGCAACGTCAACAGGCCCGGAGAACAAAATTCCTGTCTTTCCCTTTCGAGAACGGGGGAGCTATATATCCAGTATTTACTGTGGTTTGGTGTTGATATTCTTGATTGCCTTTGCCTCTGCGATAGTCAATTTGACAGTGGTATCTTCTTTTTTATTTTTCTTTTCAGCAAAATTATTTATCCAGCAGATGCAGAAGATGCAGTGCTAAGACATTTTTTTGATTATATACAGGCTTTTCAATTATAGACAAAAATGTAAAAGACCCAGAAATTTGTTTTTTTCCAAAGTAAATTATTAAACGCAAATCAAAAATATTAAAAAATATGGTTAACGGGTTCAAACAGTGTCATAGGCTGCATCAAGAGCTATAATTTTTGTATGGTTTCAGAAAAAACTTGTTTTCTCGAAAACCATTTGCTCTTTCGGTAAAATTCTTGGACCAGGAAACGTGAGAGATCCAGGGCTATAACCTCTATAAATTATTAGCCGTAAATGAAAAACTATAAAATATAAGATAATTTGGTTTAAGCAGTATCGTAAATTGTGTCGAGGGCGAGTTTCAGGGTTCGTCTACACACACGGTGCGCGAGATACTTGAAAAAAATATCATTGGAAATCGCTATCATTTCAATCAAATTTTTATATTTATCATATCATAGTCAAGACGCTTTATACTGAGTGTATAATTACGATACGATTACGATACGATAGAAAAACAATGCGTCCCTTTTTTGACAAGAAACCGCAAAGCGGTTTCTTTTTGAAATACCTCGTCAGGAATCTATCTTTGTTCTCCTTTTTTCGCAACTATGTAACAAGGACAAAACTCACCATCGTGCAGTGTGGCAAGTTAGAAGACTCTGACACTGTCTTACCTTCACCTTCGTTAGTGTCCGAGGAGTCTTTTGTTTCTTGTTATCCACATTTCAGTCTATGCACTTTTATATCGTGTATAATATCTGGACCTAACTACAGGTTTTTCAGTTAGCCATTTTTTTTGTTCTGAACGTAGTTGAGCTTTGTTCCCCTTTTTGTAAATATATTTATAACAAGGGCAAAACTCGCCACAGTGGCTTTCTTGCGGGCAGATTCACCGGCAAATATTCACTTTTTTGTGATTTGACAGCGTTCCCATGCTAAAGAACGGAGCATAATGAGACAAAACTACCCGTCATGCACCCTAAGGTTAGATGTGCCATATTGTGATAACAAAAAGTATTTCCCACAAAAAATATACAACGGAATCAATCTCTGAAAATGTAGCCCAAAAAAAAAAAAATCTAAAAATTCCGTTCGTATCCTCTACAGGTACGCGACAGTGCATACAACGTAGTCATAAGGGAAATGAGGGGATGTGTCCTGGTGCCTGGGGGCCTCGCGACGGGGAAGAAGATGCGAATTCGCGATCCTTCGATATACGTAAAACTTTGGGGAGAGATGGATAATTTTCAACGTGACGCATATGAAAATCGATTTTTGCCAAGAGATTACTTACGACCTCTGAGTACAGTTCGTCCACAATTCAACTGAACACACGACGACTTCCCGGCGTAAAATATTTTCTTTAATTTTTTTTCAAAGTAGCTCATTAATGGTGCTGTGTTTTCCATGATAAAAATATGACTCCGTCAATCTCGACGTCAATTTCCTAATGGTTGCTATTAAAGCTAACGTGAATATAGCAATTTTTCGAGTTCTATATTTATTTTTTTACAGTGTGTTTAGACTGCATGACATGTTACATATGATGTAAGAAAGATATTAACCAAAAAAATGACACACCTCGACGGCCATGATTAAAACTTAAGCTGGCACAGATTACACAAGGTGCATCCGAGTTTTAGGTGGACTCTTACTACGACTAATGAAAATCATGCAAAATATTTGTTAAAAGAAATCGAAGGACTCGCAACACCGAACATGAACAAGGTATAAAAAGATATCTCTCCAGGACAAAAGCTGGGCTTGGGATTTACGACCTGTCGCCTTAAATCGTTTGATCAAGCTGAAACAATAGGAGAATGTAAAAGTCTTGGTAATGTTCGGTGCTCGCACTTCAAACCCGCCAGAAAGCCCCACCCTTGTACGAGAGCGGTGGTGTGTACTTACGTCCTGTGAGGGGGTGCATCAAAGTTGGGTGCGTGTTGGCTGAGTTAGCAGCTTGTTGCTTGGGCTTGCTAACCTTCGTGTTACTTTTAGCAAACTCCAGCCTGATGGTCTGTGGCATGTCGGGGTCAAATCTTACACCCTGCTGCAAAAGATTGCCCAACAAAACGGTGTGATTGGTGAGGTCAAAATGCATGATACGGAGGTTCGATCATCCGGCGAGAGGTGGTAGTTGCGCGAAGAGCTCGACCTCACAACTACCTCCTCTGCCGTTTATTTACGTGTCGGTATTAGTAATGGTGCCTTGCTATCGGACGCCTTGTGTATCTCAATACAATTAATTATACAAGATTATAATTGTTTACATTAATTTATTTGTTCTCATATCTCCGATGCCATATGCATGAACCCCTATTATCCCCTCCCACAAAACAAATTGTATCGCCGAAATAGTCTTGTCGAGTGTCCCTGGGATATAATATCTTTGAAGTGAGCTGTTGAGTCCGGACAAACTGAGAAAATAAAACACAAATTTTATCTTAATAATTTACAGTAAAGAAAGGACGAGTATGAAGTTCAAGCAATTTCTCCAGGACGTGCTGGAGTTGAATAAATAGAAATAGATCTGGGTTGCTGACTCACGGGGCAAACGGCTTTGATTCTGTCCAGATTGTGAACGTTGCGTCTGGGATAGTTGATCAGCTACCTTTGTCTGACAATCACACTTTTGAGTATTTTCTCGATAAACGTCTACTCACTACATTTAGTTTTAGTCCTGTATCGCAGATCGAAGTTAGGAATGTTTTTGATAGATTGAAAAAGAAAAACACTAAAGACTGTTACGATTTTATATTGAAACTATTATTGTCTATTAAGAATGTAATTACTTCACCATTGACAAAATTATTAAACCTATGCATAGTTGTACCCCTGCCCAAAAAGGAGAATATTCAATTTTTGATGATGATTTTCGCCCTATTTCCACCACTTTTTTCAAACATTTTGGAATCTCTTTTAACAACGCAGATGACAAACTATTTTGAGGTAAACTCATTGTTTTATGAGCGACAATTCGGTTTTCGTTGCGGCATGTCTACTGTGGAAGCTGCTAGTGAGCTTATGTCAGAAATAGTACAGAGCTTTGAAAATAACAAATTTGTTGGTTCCCTCTTGTTTGATTGACAAAAAGCTTTTGATTACGTAAATCCAACTATATTACTACGCAAGTTAAAATGTTATAATTTAACTGATACAAGCATCAACTTAACAATTGTATGACGGAACGAAGTCTCAGGTAAAATCAACCCCACTGGTGTTCCACAAGGTTCCACGCTTTGCCCAGTGCTATTCTTAATTATACATAAACGACATAAGACTGACTGATGTTGATGAAGGGACTATCTTACTGTTCGCTGACGATATGGTTGCAATATATAACGAATGCAATTTTCTATCTTTAAATAATTAGTTAAATAATGGAATGTCTGATATATATAATTGGGGCAACTGCAATTTACCAGCAAAAAACAGAGCAAATAATTTTTACTTATAGGAACCATGATTACGAAAATCCGACCTCAGTAAAATACCTAGGGTTTCATTTCGATCCACATCTAACGTGGAAAGATCATGTAGACAAATTATGTAATAGGATTACCGGCGATATATTTTTAATTAGATCATTGAAGGATCTTCTGCCTTGGTCTGTGTTAATGTTGGTTTACCACTTCTCTTTTTGTCTCTAAGTGTTCTTACGGTTTACTTATATGGGGCCATTCTGCTCGTACATATCGTATATTTTCTTTACACAGGAGATTGGTGAGAGCATTGTTGGGAATAGGATATGCCGATGACGTAAGACCATATTTTATTGACTTCCGTATTCTGACGTTGCCAAGTCATGATATTTTATTAAGTCTTATTTACGTGAAGAAGAACGCTAATCTCTATACGACAAATACTAAAATCCACGAACATAACTATTACGGTCCTGACTTATATAATAAATTACCCAACAAATTAAGGGATTTAAGTTTGAATGCGTTTATAGCGAACTTAAAAAAAATTATTATAGTTATTTAAATTTTGTAAACTTCGTTTTTATTAATTTGTTTTGCACATTATTTTATTTTATACTTTTGATACAAATGAATTAAAAATTATTAGCCTGCACTTAACCGACACCTGACTGAAATCGGGTCAAGAATCAATGTTTACTTTTTTCTTTCTTTTAAAATATTTTTTTTAGATTGTATAATTAAATAAGCAAAACAAAAATTAGAGTTTAAGAATAATTACCATTTTGTTGTTCTGGGTCATGTCTGACCCAGTCTTGGTATTCTGTGCTTTAGTATATTATGCGGTAATCGGCATTTGAGTCACGAGTTTATCTGACAAGAGCGGATCGAGTGTTTAATAAACGAGTCACTTAAAAAGTTTACCAAACTATACTTATTCTACGACTTTGGATACATTTTTGGAGAACAACACGAATACATTCACCGACAAGACCGTCAGAATTGACAAAAATTAAAATTCGAGCCGCGCTTTTAGAGATTTAGAGAAACAAAAGAAAGTCCAGTTAATTTGTCGTAGTCTTCTACAAATAAATCTTTAACTATTAATTTATCAAGCTTATGTAGTTAAAATTTGGGTATCATGTGATGCGATTACATTTTACTGCTGCATTCTTGACGTTTATCTAGAAAAGGAGGGAGAAACTCTTGAAAAAAGTCAAAAACTGAGCGTAGTAAAGACTTCATCAAATCATTGGTATGGAAGTAGACGGAATATATCGACAGATATTTTTTCAGCGATGTAACTGTTGCGGAGGATCTTTTAATTAATTTAGTAAACTGTTTTATCTAAAAACCCATAAATATTTTTAACAATACCAAAATATGTATATTTAAATAATAAAAAAAGAATGAGTCAATATTGACCCTATTTTGGAAATCAATGTTTTATAATTATTTAAATCAGTTGAAGGTTAATTTATAATGTGGGATATAAATTTTTAGTACTGTACCCACCTAGACCTATCTTGGTATGTTAACTAGTCAAATTATACGATGCTCTCGAACTATATAAAGATGCGTATTAGATAAAATATTTTGAAAATTCAGTTTGCCTTCTAATGTTGGTGCATCCTGATGCAGTACTGTTTGAAAAATGAAATTTAAATGGATAAATTGAATCAAGTGAGTTATAAATGGAATTTGAAATTATTGAAAGTAATCCATTATTGGATAAAATAAACAAAAGTGCCGAAGATGAAATTATAACGAAATGTAATTCAATTTCTGACACGTTTAATTGTTCAAAATTAAGGGGTGTTTTTTTCGATGTATAGAACTTTAAGTTGCAATAAAACAACGATGGATTATTCGATTGACATGAATTTTATTTGTCCGAAAGATATGTGGCATTACATTTTAAATATTGTTGATTTTTGGCATATGGCCGCCACGGCTGGCGCGGATGTAATTCAATCTGGACGTCCAATTTTCGATGACTTTTTCCAACATTTGTGGCCGTATATCGGCAATAACTCGGCGAATGTTGTCTTCCAAATGGTCAAGCGTTTGTGGCTTATCCGCATAGACCAATGACTTTACATAGCCCCACAGAAAGTAGTCTAGCGGTGTTAAATCGCAAGATCTTGGAGGCCAATTCACAGGTCCAAAACGTGAAATTTGGCGATCTTTCAATAAATCGATTGTGGCACGAGCTGTGTGTGATGTTGCGCCGTCTTGTTGAAACCACATCTGGACATCATGGTTATTCAATTCAGGAATGAAAGAGTTAGTAATCATAACTCTATACCGATCACCATTGACTGTAACGTTCTGGCTATCATCGTTTTTGAAGAAGTACGGACCAAACAGTCAGTTTTTCTGGATGTAACGGTGTTTCGACATACACTTGAGGATTAGCTTCGCTCCAAATGCGGCAGTTTTATTTGTTGACGTAGCCATTCAACCAGAAATGCGCTTCATTGCTAAACAAAATTCGCTTATGAAAATCGGGAACAACGGCACGTAAACCAAGATCCTTTCGCACAATCTTCCATAAAGTGGATGGACACAGATCCAATTCCTGTGCTCGATGGCGGATGGACTCATTCGGGTCTTCCTCAATGCTACGCTCTACAGCAGCAATAGCTTCTTCTGTACGCACCGTACGGCGTCTCTGGGGATGCCAGTTATCAATAAGAGTAAACGTGGTGCGAAAACGTTCCATGGTTAATCGAATTAACTGTTCTGATGGACGATAAAATGGACGTAGTGCGCGATACGTATTCCGCACAGAACCATTATTTTCGAAATAAAATTGCACTATTTGCAAGCGTTGTTCAGGCGTGAGTCTATTCATGATGAATTGCCAAACCAAACTGAGAATAAGTCACTTGACAGCTGTTAAATCGGTAGCCATCTTGAACAGTAATGCCAACTTAAAGTTCTATACGTCGAAAAAAACACCCACTATTAGCAAAGGCAATTTTATCAATATTTTCATCGACGTGGGCATTTTCCGAATCAAATTTTATAAAAAATAAATATAGAAATAGAATGACAATTGCGCTTGAGAAATACGACTTAATTTATGAAATAAGATTATCTCATATTAAAGATGAAGAAAGAAGAAATATTCAAAAAACGTCTATGTTTCATATTAAAATAGGTGCTTCAAGATAATATTTCTTTATGGCACAGTCTATCGGCAAGGCGTCCGAAGCAAAGCATAGATTACAAAAGAAAAACGTGAGATCGTGTGCGAAGAGCACGGTGTGCTTTGTGCATGGGTATTTCGTAATGGCGACTTGACGTCATACGGCTTATTTTACAGTTGAAATTTGACTTCGTGGATGCGTGTGATTTTGTCGCAAAAATATTTCGAAAACCCACTTTTTTCAGGCGTCGTCGGTTTTAGAAATACTTTGCCGCGCCGAAGTAATCAAAAACCCAAAATAATTTGCGCTTAATATATAGACCACCCACCTGTAAATCTTGTTTCGCCGCTTCAGCGCCGGCCCTGGTGTTGAACGTAACAAATCCCACCGGCTGCAAAGGCGAAACAACGTGAGAATAACGAAAGGAAATGTAATAATCAGCGACATATTTATAATTTGATGCGAGTCGCGACGATCCTTATCACGTCCGAATTGCCGCCCGGTCTCGGGCAGACATTTTGATTGCGTTTGTTCGTGGACGATATCTACCGCTTTTATTTAATTCGATTCTAAGTTTGCGAAACGGAAAAGAAAAAAAAGTACTCACCGACGCTGTTTTGCCATTTTTACTCGTCACTTTTAGTAACGATCCCTCGTAACCCTACGGAAATGTGAAACGGAATTAAATTCAAAAAGTAAACGAACAAAAAATAATATAGAAGATAATAAAGATAGCATTTAAGTAGACGCAACAAAGAAACAAGAGAACAAAGTTTGGTTAGTTTCCGACCTGGTTTCAAACCACTAGTCTGAGGTTCCGTCATCATTTCCTCACAGTTTGACGACTATCAGGACTGCGCTTTGCTTTTTGGGTTTACGTTATTATAAATATATTTTTTGAAAAAGTAAAGCCCAGTTGCCAAGAATATCAAAAATAGATGCGTCAGATACATATGAAACAGTAAAACTGAAGAACCAGCGATCTTTTGAAGGATTAAAAAAAAATTAATACATACTAATAAACATGATACAAATTTGGAGTTCCTCTTTTATTAAAGTTCAGCATAACGAAAATGTGTGTAATCCTAATTCTGTGATGATAAATTATGATTCCAAAACCCTAAATAACATCAACAAAAATATCCTAAAAAGAGTCGGGTCGGTTTTTCTTCTTTCTCTATTATTCAAGATTAAGTAGAGCTGCTTATCACAATGACGATATGCAACCCATTATACAATTAACTCTATTAAATTAACCACTGGTTTGTGGTTCCGTCATCATTTCCTCAAAGTTTGGCAACTGTCAGGACTGCGCGCAATATAATCTCATTGTTTTTTGAGGCTATGTTATTATAAATATTTTCTTTAAAAAGTAAAAAAGTGAAGCCCAGTTGCCAAGAATATCAAAAATAGATTCGTCAGATAAATTTGAATGTTCAATTTTATCCAAAACTGAAGAAGATACAGTAATACTGAAGGACCAGGGATTTTTTGAAGAAATGAAAAAAATTATTAAAACATAGTAATAAACGTGACAGAAATTCCCAATTCTGCGATGCTAAATTATGATTCCAAACCCCTAAATAACACCAACAAAGATAACCTAAAAAGAGTCGGTAGGTTTTTCTTCTTCCACTATTAGTCAAGATTAAATATCGAAATTACGATATGCAACCCATTATACAATTAAGTCTTCTTTTTTACATCAAGTTAGCGACTTTATATGGAAACAAACGTAATAAGGGCTTTAAATAAGTGATCACGGAATAGAGAAAAAGGGTCAAACAACTGGAACTCTTACCTCATACGCCCTAAATAGGAGATACAATTCCCGAGGCTTCGCGTCCATTGGAAGGCCGCTTACAAACAGCGTCCGCACCTGAAACAAAAACGTAACTTAGAATAAGGTAAATTTCACGTGAGAGCGATCTTATCTGTAATCGGTCAAAGAGCAGGGCAGCCAGTTTGTAAATCGTGGAAGTATGAGATTTAGATTATAAGATCTAAATCTAGTCTTAAATTTATTGAATTTTGACGTAATTATAATCTGTCATGGTGTCAAAATGGCAGATATTTTATCACGAAAAATTTTAAAAGCAATTTACAAAACGAAAATTTTGAAAAATCAATTTAGGTAAGAACGAACTGTTTCCACTCCAATTTCCGAACTATTAGGTCGCAGTGAGTAGAGTTCTCCCGACAATATACGGTTTTTACGACATAATCCGGCATTTATATTTGGTAAATTTTTATGAAGGTCTAACCGCAGATTTATCTCGCTTCCCGTTCTAAGAACTTCCAATAACTGCTTCTGTGTGTAGGAATTTTCAATATACTGTTTCATAAAGCTGACAGCATACTCCGATATCACCAACCCCCACAAACGACAATTATAGTATAGTGCTTTCACAAATAAATCGCTTTGAACCAATGACAGCAATAAAAATCTTATTTCACATTGATGCGTTATTGTTTTCTCAGTTTATGATTTTAAAAACATCGTCATGTTTCGTCCGTACCAGGAAATTCTTACTGCTTGGTACAGTGTTGCACTAAAGAAAAAGCATGAAACCCAATTGATGGAGACCTATTGTTTTAGACAGTGTAGAGCAATAAAGTTCCAGTCCGACCCTGCGCTACATATCTTTATAGTGCTCATTTACCAACAGCAGGTCTGTTGCCATTCTCTCTTCTGTTTTCTACTCTTCTCTACACAATGGGACCGGCACGCATTATTATAAGTAACCGACAATTCGTGCATTAGCAATATCCGAGGCAAGCCATAGACAGTTTTGATTAGCTTTGGTTAGTGATCTCTGCAACCCACAGGTGCATTTAACTCGGTTCCTTATACCCAATACCATTTATTTGTGAAAGCACTATACTAGTAGTTGGAAGTTGCACGATTATGGAACAACTACCAGCTTACACTTTACAATGATAATTGTGTAAGGAACAGTCCAATTGAACTTCTAATTGTTTGGCGGTTATTGACATGGAAGTTTTCCTACCCGCTTCGACCCGCGCCTTTGATTAAAAAATACAGGTGAGCAGTTAGTCGATAACACCTGTTCGATACGAGTGAGTGCCCGCATCATGGCCGCATGTCACCTGCTCGTTGTTCTGCTCACACAACTGTAATTTTTTGCGGGAAGGTCGGCTGATGGACGAAATAACAATGAGTTATTTGTTACAATCTATATTTTTGGATTCATACAATCCTTATCCTTAATTTATCGAATCTAACAGTCATGATCAGAGAAAAATGCGTTAGTCTCTTCCTCTATTCGGCGCAACCAACGTTTAAAACATTTGTCGCCACCGAATTGTCCTCCGACTACGTCTTCTTCGGTTAATCAAATTAATAATAGAAAGTCCTCCATGTTCGTTGAATCCACATAATATTAACGTTGATTTAATTGCAACACACGTTGCGGTCATTATTATAATTTGCTCCGTTGCAAAAAGGGACAGAAAATAATTTATAAATTATTCCAATCTCATCAGAGTTACATGGTTAAGATGTATGCTACTGACCAATGGAGAACAAAGAAAACAAAAACACGGGGACAATAGGGAGCGAAAGAAAGCTATATCAAAATTTTAGTTTATCAAAACAACAACAAAACTTCTGGATTCCTCCTGCGTCGGTGTTTGCTAACGAACTTGCTAACGTTTCGCCAATCATCCCGCCTGAGAAACGTTTGCAAGCTCGATCAGCAAAAACCGACGCAGGAAGAATCCAGATGTTTTATGAAAATTATTACTGTAGGCTGTTTCTTTGAAAAAAAAAAAAACTAAAGTGCTTTCCAGCACAGTTACACCATGCTTTTCTACTCTATCTTCCACACATAACGGACATATTTTAACTTTCCAACGATACTGAGCCAATCAGAAAGAAGCATCTCAGCTTCATTTGACATTGAATCTATTCGTGTAATTTTAAAACGAACATTTTTCTTTTGGTCTCAGTATATACATCGACAGAATATATTGCTTTTTTGTTGATATTTGGTGGTTAAAGCGTTTTGTTAGTAAATTTATTCCTTCCGATTCAGATAATTTATTTTATTTTTATTTTTATAAGGAATAAAATGAATTACCAATTTTGTAATTAGGAAATTTCAAACTCCTCAGCTGAAAACCAACATATAAAAACCAAACACTCAGACTAAGATGCCCCAAAATTTTTAATATTTATCATAACTTAACTATACAGCAATCAACTTTGTCTTTCAAGAAATTTGAAGAGCTTTCAGCTTGAGAATAGAGAAGAAAACTATGCTTGCCTTCAAGAAAGAAAATATCCACACGATGAAGAAAAAAAGTATATGACTGTAGCAGAAGTGATGCCTAAGTAAATATAATTGTTAAATTCTAAGAAAACGGAAGTTTCATCAACACAAAATATTTTTTTTGCTCTCCGGCTATTATCATGCGCTTCTCAGGCAAGATGACCATTTTTTTAAAGCTTTTTAAAGCAAAAATGTTTTTTAGTTAGTTATCATTCTAACCAAGCTTTATTGAAATCTAATCTAGGGTAAGTATGTGTTTTTAAAATAAAAAGGGTAAAGTTTTATTTATTGTATTAGTGTCGAATTTCACAATAGCCATTAGAAAACTTTATTGCACGCCTATGGCCGAAGTTGAGCGGAACTAGAAGAAATTTCTTGTTTTATTACTGAAACACATTTCTCAAATGCCCTGTAAATTACCTGAAAGACCTTTCTAATAGACGGGTTCTCTGTTTATTAAAAAGATTAGCTCATCAGTCCAGTAGAGTTCCCCAAAAGATATACCGTCTTTACAACCTTTTATGGTTTTGACTTCGGGATAGGTTTAAGACCCGCCTGTTGTAATGCGGAAGGGACCATTCTTTCCAGCACATACAGCACAAACCAGAGCCGCATTTAAGAAGTTAGCCGATAAGAACTGTGCCGTGCGGACAGTTCTATTTTAAGAGCACTAATGGACTAATAATAATAAAGAAATCTCACCGATGAAACCAGCGTTTGTATGCACGAAGTACCGAAGTAGAATTGCGAATATGTTTATTGAGGCTTACAAATGGAAAGCCAAGCGAGGTAGACCTGCGTTTAGACCTTCGTAAAAATTTAGCAAAGTAAAAACGGTATATCGTTTGGAGAACTCTAACAGCGGATGAATACTATCTGAAGCAACTCTCCCAATATACTCAATAAATAAGTTATAATAAAAATATAACAAGAAGGAGGTAGTTATTTTTTACTTACAATTGCAAAGTTTGCTACCCCTACGCTACTGATTTAACCGGGATCATTATCCCGAGTCTGGGGAAAACTTTTTCCTTATAAATAAATTTAACCAGCAGAACTTTGGAGAAAACGTTATTGGTTCCAAGCGGGTCTTTGTTCCGGTAGCGAAAATAACGAGGCACCTCCAGCGCAACCACCGCCACCGCTAACATCTCCATTATTTCTGGCGGCAAAATTTGTTTTCCTCAGAAAAATATCCTTCGTTTACCGGCGGAAGCATTTTTGCCACCGGCGGCCAATTGCGAGGTTAGTGGAGCTTTCGGAAAGTCAACTTTTCAAAGTTACACGGAGCAATTATTAGACGGCTTTCTCGAGCCGGCAGACAACATTAAAATATGAAATTTTTAAACTGCCCTTTATAGCGTATGGCGGCTAGAGCGTAGACGTCCAGGAAAGAATTATTTAAACCGCCAGGTCTGAAACCGGACGGATTTTTTTTTATTCACTGACTAATTTAATTTTTGGCAAAGGTTTACATTTCGTATATACATTTTCTACATTTTATCTAGTGCCAGTTTAGCTGCTTCTATTATCCCCAGTCCTCTTTCTCTCAGTATATTCGCTATGTTATGATCTCATGTTAGCTGCGGTCTTCCTCTGTTTCTTCGGCTGGATCTTATCGCTTGCTAGATCAGTTTTGTTGGTCTCTTGTTGTTCATTTTTTTAAGTGTAGTTGGCATTTTTCGATATGTTTCAGAACTGATTGTACTTTCAATCTCTTTCTAATCATGTCAGAGACCTGAGTCACCAGTCGACCTGTAACCAATATGGGAATCAGTCATCCGAGACGGTGTTTATGCCTCTCATTTAGCTCCGTCTCTCTCAAACAATATATAAGCAGGTACAGAGTAAAATACTAGCCAGTTTCAGTCAAGCTTTGAAGAAGCCAACAGGATGATTGGCGAAACGTCAGCAAGCTCGACTCAGCAAAAACCGATGCAGGAGGAATCCAGCAGTTTTATAAAAAGTACTACAGTAGCCCGTGGAAGTTTCTTTGAAAATTAAAAATACTCTGAATCAAACAATAAATTTTGGAAGGAAAAATTTTATTCCTTTTGTAAGTCAAATTTTGTTTTGAGGGAATCTGGTAATAATGGGAGTTCTATTCCCAGTCATACTAATGACGGACAGGTAAGTATAATAAGAGATTGTTTTATATTATTTATCGATTTTTCTAATTGGTAACGGGGAATTTGTGGAGACATTTCTATCGTTTATGATTCCTTGAACTAAAAGGTTGCCATAAAAATGAAGAACACAAAAATTTAAAAAATATTTGACAAATAATTTTAAATTTTTTGAAACTTAGTGCTTGGGCGGTAGAATCGGATGTATTTTGTTGAAGGTCTCCAGAAGAATAATATTTAGCCAGCAACGTTAACCTCAGTTTTCGTTAGCTTTTTGCATAAAAATGGTTCGTGCGAAGGCGTTATCGAATGATATGTGAAATTCGATTGTTGCTGACCACAAAAATGAATTTCTGGGTCAAATTACAAAAAAACCTAGAATTCCTCTAGGAACGTCGAGGAACATAATAACAGTTTAAACAAAATGAAAGCGATAGCTGTAAAATGAGAGACAAGTT